AAAATCAAAATACGAGAATAATTTGAATTATAGAAAAAATCATGTACACTCTGAGCGTGTACACAGCAGCTATATTCTAAACATTAATAAATATAATTCAAGTGATATATAACAAAATTTGCAATTTGCAAAATTTAGGTTGAATCGCGCTTTTAATTGTTTATCTTCGAGCTTTTTAATATTTAAATGAAAATGAAAAAAGTGTTCTTTTTATGTAATATCGGAAGGGTTGACTGGACTATCTTGAGGGCCTTTATAATACCCCATTATCTTTTTCCTATATACCCCATTATCGTGTCCTCCTATGTTATTCGATTTTCTTCCAAGTATTTTTCGGGAATCTTAAGTCGCAACGTGACCCTGTATTGCATACACGGTCCGTTGCACACTGGAGCTTAATCATTTTTTTTTTAATTTCAACACTCAGAATTTATCATTACCTCGCCAAATAGAAGAAATCCGTTCAAGAATTGCAAAGAGTTTATTGGCTTGTACTGAGAAACAGTTGAGGATGCTGAAAGTAGTCTGACGTAAGAAACAAATGTTTTCTATTGTCATGTATTTAATATTTGACAGTTAGATTGTGAGCTCAAGATTTCTTTCACGCGATAGATGACGAGGGCGCGGCTATCAGGCATAATTGTTTGAATGAATAAATAAATGAACGAATGAATGCGGATGAATGTTTTAAATGACGTTTCTTCGCTGTTTGGCCAATCAGAAACTGAATCTGAGAGGCAGACTGGAGAGTTGTAAAGCCAATGAATTTCAGTCACGCAAAGTTATCTGCTGTTTAATTGGCTGAGAAGTTTGCGTAACGAACGATGGTACTGGCAGTGGATTTCAAAGACTTGGACGATCCTTGTTTTTTTCCAAGGTAGGTTCTAGTCAAGACCGACCGCTTTGTTTCTTTCATGAGTGGTTTGCGGAACTAGCTTTTGAGCTGGGCATAAAAAAAAAATATTTTCTCTGTTGTCGTCGATTATGTTCCGTTTGCCTTTTGAGGCTGTGTTCTTCCAACTGGTGGCGCTACCCTGTTTGAATTCCCACCAAATTTACTGACAATCCTTTTGAATTCAGTTTTAAATTCCCGATTAAAGAATGCATACACGATCGGATTGACAGCGCTGTTGACTCCGACCATGTACGAATAAAGCTGGTAAATTTGTCGAGGGAAAACGTATTGCCCTGTAAACATTTCGGTAGTGTCAACAACTAACAAGGGAAGCCAACAAAATACATAAACAACAACGACAGCGAACAGAAGTTTTGTCACGCTCACATCTTTTGAGGAAATCTTTGGAGAAGTTGGATCTCTGTTATTTAGATTTGCATTGTGTTTGCGAATCGTCAGAAAAATTCTGAGATAACTGAAGGCGATGACGGTGAAGGTGACGATAGCGAAAGTTATGTTCACAGCCAGTCCTTCCGCGAGTGTCACTTGATCGAGGTCGTAAATACAGCAAAATTTGCCAGGATGGTACCTGAAGATCCCTATCACAAGAAAGTACACTGGCCACGCCAAGGCAATTAGCCAAGCCATCGTCAAAGAGATTAACACGGGCTTCAATTTGAAATAAGCTCTGTATTGGTTAGGGCGCACAACTTTGAAATAACGATTTACTGAAGTTAATGTCAAAATAAGAAGGGAAGCTGATCCTAGCGTTGTCGCAGTATATCCATGATACAAACACGAGCCTTTGTTGAAAGGCCAGTGGCCTGCGATCAAGACGCTGAGAGACAGTGGCATTACAAGAATTGACATGAGCACATCGGTTAATGCTAAAGCCGTGACGTAGTAGTTTGGCGTAGTGCGCAGCCGTGGATTACATTTAACCGCCCATAGAACCAGTGAGTTGCCTAAAAACGCCATCAACATCACTAAAACCAGTGGAAAGCTTTCCAGCGTCGTTTGCAGAGGTCCTCTTTGTGCAAACTCGCGAGCCATTTGTAAGGCTTCGACTGTATTTCCATCACGATTAAGCATTGTACTGTTCGTTCTTTGCTGTTAATTGGAATTCGTTGTTGGAGTAATCTCAACAGTGAAACTAAAGAAGAGGGTCACGTGATTATTATTGCGCTGTTTGATACAGCATTGAGAAATGAAAATGGAATTAAATGGAAAACTCTGTTAGATCGAACTGTCTAATATATGACAGTTATATATACCTATACATGTAATTCAATGCTTTCAACTTAGGACAGGAAGGTGGCGATATTATGGTTCACACGAAACGATTAATTATAAAACTTTATGATATAGATAGGATCCTGTGCACGCTCTGATTGGTCAAAAACCCATGTTTTATCAGAGTATAAAACATAGAAAAAGCGTGTTTTATTGTTTATCTCCACATTACCTCCGTACATTTGAGAACACTCGCCCATAAGGCTGGTGTTTTCTACATTTCCCTCGTGTTCCCAAATGCCCGTCATGTTTTATCACAGTATATTACACGGCTTAGGCTTCTTTATTTGTTAAATATTTCCCTCGATCGTGACTAAAGCACCACACGAGTACATACGAGTAACATACGGATAGATACGAGTACATACGAGTACATCGAGTGACATACGAATATATAAGAGGAACATAGGAGGAACATACGGATACATACAGACACATGCGGTAAATAACAGGTTATATATGGATTTTAAATGTACTTAATTAAGAGAATAACCAAAATTTGCAAATTTGAAAGAATGTTAGGCTGTTTTGTACCCCTTGGTTGAGGAAAGGGCGAGGGGTTCAATTCATTGAATGAAAAGATCCCCTCCCGTAACAGCACGCCACACACACACACCCCAGAGCTTTTACTGTGCTTTTACTTCGAGGAAAATAATTCTATGAGACATATGGGCGCGCTAAATCTTGTGTGCAATCATAGTAATCTGCGTAAATTGAACTCGCAACGTCGCGTCATACATACATCAGCACTCAGGTTTGTTTGTGTGTTTGTGACGCGCGTATGGCGTACGAATGCATGAGGCAGACGCGCATGTGTGTGGTACCCGCACGTGTGTGGCACTTGTACACGCGCTCGCGTGTGCACGTGTGTGCAAAACATGACCCGTGCACATATGAAAATGTAATGTAACACGAAAAATGGTACTGTTCGTGTTTATTGCCCTCCTGCAATCGTATATTGCTCCTATGTATTCGTATGTAACCTGTATGTTACCGTATGCGTCTCTATGTATATCCTTATGTTACTCGTATGTTCCTCTTGTATATTCGTATTTCACTCGTATGTACTCGTATTTACTTGTATGTATCCGTATTTTACTCGTATGTACTCGTGTGGTGTTTTAGTCACGATTTATTTCCCTGACTGTTAAATAGTTTTCTCGAACAATGGCGCTATTAATATTAAATTATATGTACCGTCAAAAGTCTGTAACTATGGGCTTGTTACAACATAATCACTTTCAATATGGGCTATTTCTCAGAATCTTTTCACTGTCCCGATTGCATGATCATCAGCTGGCAAGTACTTGGAAAAATTCAAAATAATTACCTGATGATTTTTCCCGTGGACTTTCAATCAGCCTTATAAACAGTGAATTGGAAAACTGAACTGAATTCCCTAAATTTATTTGGAGTTTTTGCCAGGTCATGATTTTCGTATAAACCAGGACAAAAACGACGAATCTGTGTTATATGCCATTTATACACCTTTACCTTTTCTCATACTGCAATGTGTTAAAGAACTGGAGATCGCTTAGGGTACTTATAACGACCTGTGATATTTACTGAAGCAGTACTTACCGTAAGAGCGTTGACGGTTGTCGTTGAGTGATCAACCGTATGCCGGGATGTAAAATCTTGACTGTGAACTAGTCTCAGTGCTTTATCTAAGTCGCCACAGCCGCATATCAGTTGTGTTTTCACATCCGAAGACAATGTTAAAGGGTATTTGGCTTACCCCAGATTGCTTTTTCCCATGTTGCGAACAGTCTTATTGGGAACGATTCTTTCAATCCACCTGTCTTTTGGCTAAATAAATACCATATTTCTATTGAAAGACTGATCTTAGTGAAAGTGAATATTCACCAAAGCCATATTTAAACTGGATAGGTTCTAATTAAAGGCACAACACGAGTCCTTTCAGATCTTTCTGGCGGTGTCGGGATCTAACAAAATCGTTTGCGTGAAATTGTTGGAAACAAATTTGCTCAAACGCTTACAAAAGTACTTGGCCGATAACCAAGTGCGAAAGACGTACTGAACGACAAAAGGAAAGAATATTGTCCATAGGGATCGAACGCAGAGAGGTCAGTGCGCAGAAAACACCGAGGACCAATACGTCCTGAGCAAGCTGGATTAATAAGAGATTTATTAGACAAGTTTTTAATTGAAAACGAGCTGTAAAAACTCTGCACAGTGCAATACTTTTAAAGGAAATATATATATTACATGGCTAATTCAGTCAGCACTCTGATTGGCTGATATATTAATTATTGGCCCTCTCAGCTCTCTCATATAATTAAGTCGTGTATTTTAAATACACTTATCTGGACTGCACGCTTCGGGATAACCTATAACTATCAATTATTATGGCTACCGCGATGACTGATTATCTTCTGACTGATTATCTCCAACTACTGACTGGTACATTGATGTACTTTAATTTTTCATTTTTTTGTGTGTGTGCACATTCATTTTTTTCTTTTTCGTTCTCTTTATTTGTGTCTGTGTGTGTGTGTGTGTGTGTGTGTGTGTGTGTGTGTGTGTGTGTGTGAATGAAATCGTGTCCTGTTTTT